AAACAGACGTGAAAGCTTGTTTGTGTAAACAGACGTGAATACCTTGACTGCAAGAGAAATAACCTTACGTATCTTGTTTGTGTAAGCTGCTAAACAAAAAAATATTGATTAAAGTGAGTATATATATACCTTACAACTAACCCTAATAATAAAGAAATAGACGTGAAGCCCATAAGTTTGTGAATTTGAGTGCCTTTTTTTTGTGAATTGTTTTTTTTTTAAACCAATCTTTCAAAATCACACCTTGAGAGGTGTGATTTTTTTAACTGGTTTTCACTTGTAAAATTGTATCAAAGTCTCCCAAAATCACTTTTTATGGTTTTCTAAAAAAGAAAGAGTTATGTTTTGAATAACAGTGGATTTGATATGATTTTTACAAATTATTGATTGAATAACAAAGATTGTAAGTGATTTTGAAAGACTTTTTACAAATGTCATATTCAATAACAGTGGATTTGAAAAGTGATTTAAAAATCACTAGTTGAATAACAGGGAATTTTAAAAAAAATCCAAAATCCTCTAGAATTCTACTTTCAATACACCCCTCGTAAACTAGGAGAAAATATATGCAGAACAAATTGTGTAAACAAAAACGTTTAATTATTTTCAAATTGGACCACAAAAATTTAGACACATTTGTATTTCTTTTCCCTTTGAAAGGACAATAAAAATTAGAGTGGGATTATATTATTATACACGGCAGATCTATAAGATTTGGACGGACATGATCGAAAGAAGCAAGAAAGTATGTCAGGAAATGGTCCACGAACCCATTGTTGGAATTAAGACAAAGACAAACGATATTGTATATCATTAAGTCTCATCAGCTCACAAAAATTGACGCTCATAATAAATACACCGACTGATAAAAAGAAATACGTACAAAAATTAATGTTGCAATATGAGATTCGACATTGGGTTAGTATAAGAAAGCAGAGACCAAAGGAGGACTAGTCTAGTCATGTATTTAAAGAGAGAGCAAAAGGGGAAAATTAAGAGTTAGCAATAATAATATAAACAAAACACAAAGGATCGGACAATGATATTATCGATGATGAATGATTGGATTTTGTTTGCTAATATATATAAATATGAAAACGAATTTTGAATGATGAATGATTGATGCTAGTAATTAATTGGTAAAGGTCCATGCATTGCATAATATATAATTTCTTTTCTTCCTTTTTTAAAGGAATGTCTAAAAAGTGCACGAAGAACCTTTTTCAAAAAGTCTAGTAGTACATCCATGTGACTTAAGATCTACAAGTATTATAGTATTTTACATTAAAGATATGAAAATTTATATATATATATACACATAATTCAGAGATTACGAACTTTCCTTGAGGAAGCATCTCTCTCGGCCGAACTATTAGACTGATAAGTCTCAAAGTCTTGTGCTTTATTAGTCACCAACAAAACAATGGCCTCTAAAATGAATACTCCGTCATAAAAAAATATAGTTGTTGTGAGGTCTTGACGACGAAACTAATTAAATGAATACATGAAAACACATTTCGTAATCTACTATATTTTACAAACAGAGTAAGTTTCTTTTTTTTTTCCATGAAAACGTACGTACTCATTAGAGTTCGTTTGTTTGTTTTTTCTTTATCTACGCCACCACCAACGCATATCCCAACAATAAAATAAGAGAAAAAAACGAAAGTAGTATATGATTCCACGCAGCAGTAGTCTAAAGTCTTGAAAGTGTTTTGAAAGATCCAATGTTATCCTTTTTGAGTTCCCGACCGATAGTAACGACGAGTTGCAAGTACGAAGGCAATTGCAACGTTGAAGACAAAACCTAAACATTAATTCGTAAATTTTGCTTTAAATAGGCTAATAAAAAATGTATTAATGCACTAACAATAATAAAGGGAAGTTGACAAAAAGAGGAAAAAGAAAAGGTAAGAACGAGAAGGGGGGGAAAGATTCGAGAGAGATCATCCATATCTTCTTCCTCTAAAAGTGTTTTTTGTCGTCTTCCTCCACCTCAATCAATTTTATATTATCTAAAACTTATTATTCTCCAAAAACTCAAAAGATCAGATCCACTCTTGTTTATTTTTATTCATATCAAAAGGTATTCAAATCTTTTATATTATATTCATGGATTTTTAATTCCGAACAATTTGGCCGACATGACCGCAAAGGCTTCCTCTTTTATGTAATACCAGTAGTATTATTTGATTGATATGATTTTAAGCAAGACAATGAACAAAATACATCCACTAACCAAAAGGATGCATGAACGATATGTAAGAGATCTTCTCTATGAATGATATGGATGACCATTAGAATCGATTTCAGTCACATAATAAGATGTAAACAATAGAACCAATACAAAAGTCACCTAAATAAATAAACAAAAAACAACGTAAAACCAAAATGATATATATTATTGTTGTTGGGGTTAGGTTTATATACCGAAACCAACATATATCAAAATACGTAAAGAGTGGTTGTTGAGTTTGTGAAGGAAAAATTGGGAAAAAATGATTTTTGATTCAATATCTCTCAGTGTAAATCAAGAAAAATATAAATAAAAAGAGCGGCGAGAAGAGGCAAAAGAAGAAAAAAGAAAAGAAAAGGGAAGTAGTAGTAGAGAGAGAGAGACACACACACACACACATGGATGATGGAAGACAAAAGCTGGCATTGAAGAGCTGGCCATTTGTCAAAGTTCCCCACCTTTTCCATTTTTTACTTGTTTTCTTTTTTTTGTCGTTTCTTATTTATTTGTATGAGATTAAATTTAGCATCTGACCATAAAAAAAGATTGTATATTTATTACTAACACCAAAAAGATTGCAGTATTAAATTCCACTTTTGCACTTTTTCTGCCTCATTGACAAGAAGTCCTAAAAAGTTTCCACTTCTAGGCTTTTTTTTTTTACCTATTTCGGTAAATTTAAAGATACTCAAAACTTAAAAACCTAAAGAAAGCGAGAGCTTGTTTAACCACCGATTCAGTTTAGATGAACAAAACTTAAATCAACTTCAAATTATACTACTCGATCCTGTCAACTTCTCTGCCTCCTCCTATGAAGCCGAACAAACTAGTTCAATCTTATCTAATTGTTTAAACAATGTACACACTTAATTACTGTATATACTAATTGGTTTACATACCCGGTTTTTTTACAAAGTTCCCTGAATTCTAAACCATACCAAACCGGGTGTGAACCGAAACCAAAACAAGTCAATTTGGGGGGGCATTCAAAGCAAAGGAGAGAGTAGCTATCAATCAAGAAAGTGGAAGAGAGAGAGAGAGAGAGAGATGAAGAGTTATAACCAAAAATAAAAGACAAAGGAAACCTAAGCTGCTTATCTATAAAGCCAACACATTATTCTTACCCTTTTGCCCACACTCATACCCCATCAACCTATACATACACATGAATCTCTACACATAAACACTAGTATATAGCACTGGTCCAAGGGGTACAAGTTGAGAGAGAGAGAGAGAGAGAGTGAGTGAGAGAAAGAAGAGGCAATTTTGTGATATTCGAGAGAACAAAAACAAAGAAGGTTTATTCTTTTCGTATACGAAAAAGAAATGAAGATTTGGTGTGATGTGTGTGATAAAGAAGAAGCTTCAGTGTTTTGCTGTGCGGATGAAGCAGCTCTTTGTAATGGTTGTGATCGCCATGTTCATTTCGCCAACAAACTCGCCGGCAAACATCTCCGATTCTCTCTCACTTCTCCTACTTTCAAAGATGCTCCTCTTTGTGATATTTGCGGGGTACGTACCTACTCTTCTTTTAATTAATATGTTTCTTCTTTCTTGATAGAATTCTAATCTTTTCTAGCAAAAACGTTTAGATATGTTTTGGTCGGTTTGGTAAGAAAATAATTATTTTTTCCTTCCTTTCTCGGAATATTTTTCCAAGATTGCTTACTTTCCTAGAAATTTCGAGGTTTCATACCATTGGTTGACGACGAATTTTATAGCTCGCAACAACAAATTACTTTTTCTCATAAACAGAACTGAGTTTGAGCTTACCCAAAATCTGGATGAATTGTTTGGTCACTAATCAAAATTAAGTTATTAAAGCGATTGAACCGATTTATTACAATATTTAAATACTTTCTTCTTTGGGAAGGTAAGCCGTGGAGGAAGATATAACAACTATAAAAGAATACTATTTCTATTTGCGTTTCTTTACAATAAAAGCAAATATCTTTTTTTGAAAAGTTCGTGGGGGTCAAAATCTAGCAGATAAATAAAAATAATAAAACTACAAATAATATCTATATATTTTGAAATAGATGGATACAAGAACAAGAGTCTCGTCGATTATCTATAATATTAAAAGGTAAAAGTGATGCAATTGACAGGAGAGGCGTGCATTATTATTTTGCCAAGAAGACAGAGCAATACTATGCAGAGAATGTGACATTCCAATACATCAAGCGAACGAGCACACAAAGAAACACAATAGATTCCTTCTCACAGGCGTCAAGATCTCTGCCTCCCCGTCAGCCTACCCAAGAGCCTCCAACTCCGCTGCTGCATTGGCTCGAGCCAAAACCCGACCTAAATCAGTATCGAGCGAGGTCCCCAGCTCAGCCTCCAGCGAGGTCTTTACGAGCTCTCCTTCGGCCACCACCAGCAATTGCTATTATGGGACTGAGGAAAACTATCATCAACCCAGCGATTCCGGGTCTGGATCCGGTTGTACGGGTACGGGTAGTATATCGGAGTATTTGATGGAGACATTACCAGGTTGGAGAGTGGAGGATTTGCTTGAACATCCGTCTTGTGTTTCCTATCAGGATAACAATAACAACGAGTCCTATAGGGTTTATGATGGTTCTTCGCAATACCATCATCAAGGCTTTTGGGAACAAAAACCATTTTCTTGAATTCATATGTTTTTATTTTTAATTATAGCGCCTCTCTTTTGAAGTTGGAGTTTTTAATCATGAATCCAAAACCAACTTCTTGTCTCCATTTTTATTTTATTTTTGTTTCTATCGTTATCTTAATAAGAATTTGTTTTTGTTTGCTTTTGTCAATATATATACGGATTTGGATTTTGACATATTGACCCAAATTTATTGAATGGTCAAATATATATAACACATTAAAGTGGTTTTATCGTGTGAATAAAACTCGTCACCCACAATTGTTTCAATGATTTCTTATAAAGAATTTTGTTTTTCAATCTTTTCTTGAAAAAGTGAATATTCTATATTTTTTTCAACCAAAATTTAAATATAATATATATTCGATAATTTCATACGTTTTTGATAAAATTATCTTTAATGAATTATTTATTTTTCAAAACCGCTAATTTGTGAGTTATTAGCTAATAAGAAACGTTAAGATTTATGCACAAGATGAAAACTAACTACATAAAGAGAAAATTTACAAAAAAGTACAGCTACTTATAAAATATAATTCAATTTTCCGATATCGTATACAAGTTAAATCTTGTGACAATTTTGAAATATATTTTACTACTTCAACCTTTGGCTCTTGTTTAATTTGTTTTTTTCCAAATTTCCTATCTATTTTTGTAGCAGTTTTGAATTATATATATAGCATGCTCAACATCTCTCATTCTTCTCCATCATCCTCATTAAAATTGAGACCAAAAAGATGGAGATCTATATCCCAAGCTTCTGCCCAACCTTCTCCACCATCCTCATCTTCGACATAATTGAAGTATTCCAACCTCCCCAATTAGGAGTCCTTACACGTCGATATGACTAAATTATAAATTCCCATTCTTCACCAGCAACTTCTTTAGTGTCATTCTCAAAACCTCTAGTATTGGATTTGTTAAGCATATTTTCTAAAATGAAGTACTTTTTTTCTGTACAACGTATGGCTATTATGAACCAAATTTTCTAAAGTCTGGTATCAGATGTGTTAATACATATTTTTTTTCTTCACGAGCGGATCAAATAGGAAAACTAACTTGATTGATAAGCCAATATTAGTTTCCGTTTGTTTTGTAATAGAGAGTTTTGGTATACAATATTTAGAAATGAATGTCGATTGTTAATTAAAACTGACGGAGTGTAGATATTTTTGGCAAGAAGGGAAAAGTGAAGAAGACATGTCGTCCACATGTATATGTTTAAATTTTTCATTTTTCCCCCATTTTTAATGACAAATATAAAATATAAAGCATAGAAGGATAGACATAATAATATTACATACAAAAGAGCCAAAGACTAATTAAAAGAAAAAAAAAATAAAAAAAAATCCCAACCTGTTCTTTCCTCAAAATATATAGCAACAGGCTTCACCCACAGTTCTTGGAGATCTGCATAATCAATCATGCGACTCAATCAATATCTACATATTGTTGTATGACCAAAACAGTGGTCAATCAGGTTGACACTAATAAGTAATAAATCCAAACACTGAACCTAAAAGAGCTTAAAATTTGGGCATGTCAAGTCAGCTTCTGTTTTTTACATATCAAAAACCAAACTGAAACTTTTGAGTTTCTGATATACAACTGTGATATACAATCCAAACTTAGTTTTAAACTTCAGTTCGATTTCTACAATTGATGAACCAAAAAAGAACCTAATATGAAATGTAAAATAACAGACGCTTCCAAGGTACCTTTGATTGGTCAAGACGGAAATGCAAAGAGTCGATCAGAGATCTTTGTACGGCAAATTGGGCATTCAGAGCAAGCAAGGGAACAGGATTTACATACTGTAAAATGAAACAGAGATTAAGAAAGTAATATAAAAATCATATTTTGCTACAACTTGTAAAAGAAGAGACTGAGGTTTCATGGAGATAGAGTTACGACTTACAGCAGAAATGACGGCAAGGGAGTAGAATTGCTGCAGTGGGAGATTCGAAACATACTTTACAAATGTGAGAATTTGTGTCTCCATTCGCTTGCGATTTCATCTCTTTCTCCTTCATTTCTTGCATTCGTGCCTGTCTCATTATTACAAGATCTTGTTAGTATATTTGAAAGAAAAGACTGATTCACAGGTAAATGTAGAAAACTCATCACATTACATTTACCTTGAGACGAGCAACAAGTGGTTCCTCTTTTGGTGTCTCTTCGGTTTTAGCTACTACTATTACGTCAGGTTGTCTCGGTGCAATCGAGACTTGTCTCTCTTTCAGAACCGCATTGCTTTGTCTCTTCTCTAATTCTTTTGCAGGCTCAGTGACATTGGGTTCAGGCAATGCACCATTGTCTTTCTTCAACTTCGCAACAAGTACCCACATGTTTGCCAAATCGTTTTCTAAAGCTTCCTCTCTTCTCTTTGCCTCTTCTGCTTTTTTCCTGTATTCGTCTTCTATAAACTCTTTCTCTGCAAGTGCAGACTCAAGAGCCACCTCTCGCTGTTTCCTTACTTGCAACTCCATTCTTAGATCTTCTGGGTCTAGATTCCATGAGTCAAACTCATCTCCACTTGACCTACTTGAAGAAATCCTTCCCTTTCTTCCTGGCCTTGCCCCATCATTGTACTTGCGATTTAATCCGTTCATGGGATTACGCGTTTGAGCCAAGTCTCTTGCAGTTGCTAATTCTTTTTCTAGTTTTGTGTTTTGTAGTGAGAGTTTTGTTACTTCGCTAGCCAGATTTTTCAGTTCAACAGCTGCAGCAGAGGCTAACTCCTTAGCATATGAAGCTTCTTCAGCTAGTTTTTGATTTTGTACTCGTAACCCACTGTTCTCTTCCACGATTTGCACATGTTCTAGCTTCAACTCTTCATTCTCAATTTCCTACATACAAAAAATAAACATTCATGTAAGAATGATATTTATGTTAGCATAAAGAGAGGATCAGATTTACAATAAATGCATAAATCTACTTTACATGATACTTGTATAAAACATGAACGTTTGTATTTACTGGGATACTTGTGAGAATTAAGAATGTATGTTTGTATATTTTACCTGCGATTGCATTTTCTTTTTAAGTTCTTCTGCATACTCCCCAGATACCGCTTTATCGGAACAAGATGGTGAGGATTTCTCACTAGATACTGCATTCAAGCGTTGCTCTAGAAGATTCACCTTTTCATGTAGTTCTTTGTTCTCGGTACACTGCATTGTTGAAGCAAGTGTGGTAAGAAGCATTTTTTCCAGAACAATACGAGAACTGAGTAGAAAGATGAGAATTAGTCACCACTTCAGTATGAGAAAAAAACATGCTACTGACCTTTTTCTGTAGTTGTTCTTGGAGAATGCAATTATCAGCTGATTTGATCTGTGACAGAGGTAGAACTTAGTTCAAACATATAGTGAATCTAAGCAAGCTTCTGATTTGCTAATGTAGAAAACAAGGCGGTACTTTCGTTAAAAGAGCAGTCCTTTCAATAAAAGATTATTTTCCTCACCTCAAGCTCAAAGCTCTTTTCATTGCACTGCGTCATCAGACTCATAACTTTCTGAAAACAACAAGAGAGAATGATATTTATGCTGACTTTGAAAGGGCCAAACATCATGTTTTCACAGTGAGATGTGGAGGTTAAATACCTGTTGCATCTCAACTAATGATGCGTTGGCAATTGAAGCTTCACCACTCTCAATTATGAGCTGTTCCAATGCTCTCATTTGTCTTTGCTTTTCGTGAATCTCGCGTTCCAGATTCTGTATCTGCAAGAAGTAATTTATTACGTGTGTAAGTCATCTTTGCCACTTCAGTTGGACAACACTACTATTTTACCTGAGTTTGTGAGTTTTCCGGATCATTTACGGACTGGTCCATCAAACGCTTTAGTGTGCTAGAACTGAAAGCTATCTCACCAGCAAGCATCTTAACTTGTTCAACCAGAAGATCAATTTCATCCGGCGTCATGACACCCTACAAAAAGTCACAAGCCCACGACAATAAGATACCATTTTTCTAACAATCAATAGAAACTTTAGGGTAATTTACTCACTTGAGTAGATTCTGCACCCGGCGAGTTTTCGTCGTTCAGCTTGCTAGACGATCGCCTGTGGTTAAAACCTAAAGAAGTTTCTGATACAAGAGCCAAGGTCGAAGATGGAGATCCCAGATTATCACTTTCCAACAGTAGAGAATCGAATTTCTAAAAAGGAAAGAGATGAAAATATTAGCCATTGTGTTTTCAAACAGCTTCTGAGATGTGGAAGCAACATGCAGCAATAGGAAAAAAAAAAAAAAAAAAATACTTATTGAGGTTATAACATCAAAACCAACTATTCCAAAAATTCTTCGGTTGGGCCATCTCCAACTGGATAAAATATCTAACCGAATGGCTAAAACCGTTTAGCTATCTGAAATAGCAAGAATTCATCAAATTTGGTTGGACCACTTGTGTGAGCAGAAAACTTACATCATTTTTACCCGCAGAGAGACTGCGCTGGAGAGTGGGTATATCACCCAAATACCCAGGAATTGAATTCTTGGTAGAGACGAGTATGAGCTTCGTAAGCTTTTGGATTCTGCTCATTAGAGCTGCTTTGGCTTCTTCTTCTTCCTCCAATCTTGATTGCATTTTCACTTGACCTTCTTCTAACTGTTGTGATAAATGGATAATTAGTTAATTCACTGCCTTAGAAACACAGTAAGAATTATTCAGGATGAAGGTCTTGGGAGAGGTCAGAACCTGTTGCTTTAAGCTCATTAACTCTTCATGACTGACACCAACAAGCATACCCCTTCTAAGCTGGTCAAGTTCTAGTTTGAGGGTTGAGATTTCTCTTTGATATTTCTTAATTAATGATTTCTCATCTATAATCTGCTTTTTAGGAATGTAGAAAATAAAAATTAAGCAGAGTTTCAAGCTTATACCCATGAGTATAGCAAAGTAATTTACTGTAAACCAGGTTAAAACATCACCTGATTGCGTGAAGCATATATTTCAATACTCTTTGCCCTGCTGGCAAACTTCAACGTATTATGAGTTTCCTCACTACTGCTTGACGCAGGAGTAATTGTACATATGAGCTACAAAAAGAAACAAAAAAACTCAATTAGTTTCTCTGTTGTTATGGTGGATCAGCATGAGCTTAGTGTTCATTACAGATAGTCAATATAAACATAATAT